CAAAGGGGAAATCGTAGACTACACTTAATAATTGATGCTCTCAAACAGCTTATCATTTGACTTCACTGCTTATCATCCTTCCAATAACTCCTCTTCCTTTTCAATCTTTCTTTCCCCCCCTTTTTTTATTATGATTCTCCACTGCATGCTGAGCCTCTCCATGCACGCTCCAGATTCATTTTCTAGATAATTTCTTTTAATGGACGAATAAATCACTAGGTGGCAGCATAGTAACACATGGTGCATACATTGACAGAGCAGGAGACTGGTATATACTGTACATGAACTGCACAGACTGTGTCATGTGGGCTGCTAATAGTTTAGGATTGAGTGTGACAGGCTTGATCCCAGATTAGTGGAGATGTGGAATAACTGCTGCACCATTCATCATTGACCTCTTCGATTCCAATTACCCGATCAATAAGCTCCAGGTTTGACTCCAGATCAATTGAAATAATGTTCCCTTGACCCATTAATGACCTTTTAAAAGCGTATCGGTGCTTTGCCAAGTCTGTTAACCTTCACTGTCTCGTGGTTAATGAGGAGGTCAGCCCCAAAAACAATTATATAGTCCAGCGGAAATCCCCTCTTTTTGTAGTCAAGAATAAGGTTTATGGGTTTTTTAGGGAGAGATTGAAGAAAACAGGAGATTTACAGAGCAGATGTTTATGCTGTAGCTGTCAAATAAGATTTCATTTCAGTGTGTGTATTCTCAAACATGAGCCATTCAGAAAAAGTGTACATATTTTTCTCAATGCAAATCAAGTCATCGCTGATCACAATGCCACTAAAAAAACCTGCTATTTTTGCCACAGATGGCCTGAATATGAGGGCTTTGTTATACTATTTGGCCTCGCGGTTCTTTTTGTGTAAACCATTTTAAGATCCCAGTATCACTGCGACAACAGTTGTACAGCGTAGAGTGTATTTGGTGGCAAAATTGCCTCATAAAAAGCCCAGAAACAATTACAGGAAGGAAAATTTTTTTTTTTTTTTTACCATGTTTGTGCCTCTGTAAATTGACTAAGATCGACTTTTTGGGAGTAAAGTCCAATGATTATTCTTTCAGAAGAGACCAGAATCCTGATTGTAAACAAAAGGGTTCAAGGGCAGTCACCATGTTATTTCACGGCATGTCATTTTTATTTTAAAAAAAAAGCAATGCTTACTAACAACTCAGCAAGTCCTTTTGTCATTTTTGCTTGCTTTGAAAACTCTTAATAAAGCAAAAGACTATCTCAGTGATGGAAAAAGAGACATTAACTTATGTAATGATTGTGTGAATGTAAGCATCCCCACCAACACGGAAATAGCTGCTAACTGACATCTGTGAATGCTCTCATGACTCATTTTTAATATTTGTGTGTAGGCTTATTTTAAGATCTGATGTAACCATTCCTTGTGCTGGTTTAGACTCTGTGTGCGTGTGTGTATGTGTGTGTTTGTGTCTGTGTAGGAGCCTGGTTGGGTTGTGGGTGGTGAGAACATGAATGACAGCGGGATTATGACTGGGATTCAGGCATTTCCCATCTGAGATTTGTGTCACTGAGTTTGTCTCATAACAGCAGGCGGGCTTCTCTGATCATGTAGCTTATAATGATGATGATGATGATGATGGTGATTTAGTTTGGCATTTTGTACATTTGTATGGTCAATATGAAGCTACTGACTAGGGAAATAAACATATAGATTGGATATAGGTAAACAAATCAGAAGTATTAAGTCTCTTAGTACGTACAAAATAATTTACATGGGAAATATAAATGATAATAAATAGAAAATATGAGGCTACAATCATCTTTTCAATGTATTATTTAACAAATATTCTCTTAAAAATAAAGAAATAGTTTTCACATAAAAATCCTTAACTTAACATAACTTCCTGGAATCTCCGCTGGTTACCTAGCAACTGCCTTAGAGCTAAGAAACAGACACCTGTAAAACGATTAATTCCTGTTTTTATACTTAAAACATAAAACTTAAATTATTATTTAAGTAAATTATTGAGCTTCAGAAGTGCTGGAAGGCGGACGTGGTCACCTTTGGACAGAGCCAGGCAAGCTGTTTCTCCCTGTTTACAGTCTTAATGCTAAGCTAAGCTATCTAGCTTCTGGTAGCAGCTCATCACATTTATCCGTACAGACACGAGAGTGGGATCGATCTTCTCATCTAACTCTCGTAAAGAAAGCAAACAAGCGTGCTTTCCAAAAATCTGGCCATTGAAGCGGCCATGTAGTAATTGCTGGAAATTAAAAGGGGTTTATAAACACAACCACAAACTCCAACATATGGACCTACTAATGAGACCACAGTTAGGAAATGATCCGTATGACTAATGCTGCTGAATTTACAAAAAAACAACTGAATAATGTGTATTTTTTCCCTGCAAACAGCAGCGGTAACAGGCGTGTGAACACAAAAGCAGAAGCAATGCGTTAGCTGCACATTATTAAAGAGATAAATACAGGGGTGCTCGGATAACCGCTTGTGAAAGATGAGTACAGGATGTGCGACAGTATGTTCGCATTTGCATGATGATAATGACGGCGCCGTAATTTGCCCCTCAGTTTGATACGTAACACGGAGCCGTTAATTATCCCTTTGTTATCAGTTTCCTTTTTTTAAAATTCGGATTGCTGCTCCCGCTGTGCACCGCTGGGATGGGAAAGAGAGGAAATTTGACAACCTGTAAAGCAGCTCCCTGGAAGAGCACGAAGGAAGTGTGTTGACCGTGGAGAGGGGGGGAGAGAGAGGGAGCGAGACAGCTTTATTCTTCCTCTTTTTGTGACTCATCACTCTCTCCTGGCTTTCCAGATTTGGGGAATACTGTGATTTCCTTTTGAGGGGTTTCGTGAGCACTTGATCTACCTCTTGCTGCAGGTATCACCTTACAAATAGAGCGATAGAGCTGCTCTTCTTGGTTTCATATCACTGTAAACTGCATTTGGGTTTGTTGGACACAAACAAAAAGACACCTGAAGACATCCCCTAGGATTCTAGGGAACTGGAATTGACATGTTTCATAGTTTTTGACAGTTTATCCAGAGGAAGACTCAATAAGCTGCAGCACGACATGTGTTACAAAGCGTATTCTGTTCAGATGTATTTTTGTCCTTGGTCATCCTCCTCCCTCCCTCTGCTCCATCCTTTAGCCCTTCCTTCTCCACCGTTGCCAAGGGCAACCGGAGGAAGGAGCCGAATACAGTAACAATATCACCTGATCGGGGCGGGGGGGGGTGTTGGTGGTGTTGGTGGTGGTGGTGGTGGGGGAATCCAGCAGGTGTCCGTGCACGCCTGTTACCGCGCACACGTGTCTGCCTTCTTTTCCTTTTTTCCACGCCGTTGACCGACAGTTACAACCTGACAAAAAACACACAAATGCAGGTGGAGGAGGGAGGCTGAGAAGGACACACGGACGGACACACACACACACACACACACACACACACACTGTATACACACTCACACGGTGTAAATGAAGTGACTGTTGGCAGGCTCACAGCTAATTCAGCATGAATATTTAATCAACTGTAAACAAATTACTACTGCACTGAGCGGTGCCAGTGTGTGTGTGTTGTGCTATGTTAGTACGTGTGTGTGTGTTTGTGTGTCTCTCTTCTGCCCTTGTATCTGTGTTAGTGTGCACATGTTGCTCTCTGTCTCTCTCTCTCTCTCTCTCTTTCCTCCCTGATTAATGTGGATGTCTCTCTCCCTTTCAAAAGGAGCACTACCTCTCTATTAGGTGCGGACTTCTCCCCGACAACAGCTCCACTGAGCGCAGGGGCTCGGCTTCTTAAGCCAAAAACAAGTTTTGAAGAGCGTGCCTGGGCAGACATTTTGAGTTAAATAGATGTGTTATTGCCTGCATGAGGAATGTTGTGTCACTAGATGTGAGCCAGCAGTAGTTTGTATCCCTAATATGCAAAAAATAATTGAATCCACCCGCTCTCCAGCATGGTCCACGAGCTGCTTAATTCATTTTTTCTGGCCTCTGATCCCCTGTAAACAAACCTACTTGGGACCCCTTTGTCACAGGTTATGGCCTCGATGTAGACATGGGTCTGTTCAGCTGAATTTCTCCTTTTTTTAAAAGGAGCCCGAAGAGGTTAAAGCACCAAATATTCTGCAAGAAAAAGCAAATATTTGTGAGAAAAATGTTATTTTGTGCACCAGAAATCATCATATGACCCTTAAAGATTATGTCTTGGTGCCCCTTGGTGGGTCCCAACCCCCAGATCTGGAGCCATACTAGATTAAATGATTGATTTTCTTCCATGACAACTAGGGCAAACTCTAAAGATCATGTGCTATCACGATAAACTCCTATACCACTACGTTTAAAGCCTGTGAACTATGAATCAGTTATCAAGCGGAGGCCGACTGATTTAATCAAACAGCAATACAATTAGCCCAAATTCAGTGCATCAGCCAACTCCACATTCTGCCTAAACACTGTCTGAATTCTTTCCAAAAATAATAGTCCTACAAATGCAAAATATAGAAAAATAACTGAACTAAACACACACGTAAACACACAGGAAATGGTTAAAATCCAGTCCTATCTTGTGTCACACACACTTTTTCCCACCTGCAAGTCTGAGAGCTGTTTCCTCCATTATGCCACTCACAGCCGGGAGCTTTTACACCATGCAGCATTTCAATGAAAGGAAACACCTTTAATGCGATATTAATCCATTTGAAACTGTTCAAAATCGATGCTTAACAAATGCAGTAACCCACACTCCCCCTATTGTTCAGTGCTCTAACGCTGTCGAGAGCGCAGAAGGAGTAAATTGAGTCTTCAAACTTTTTCTCCCCTCACTGAACGGTTCATATTGGTTGTTCATGTGTGTCTGTGTGTGTGTGTGTGTGTGTGTGTGTGTGTGTCTGTGTATTAGGCCTGGTGTCTCCCTCGCGCTCCGTCCTGCGCGCGCTTGCGTGCGTGTGCGCGTTATTTGCTCTCAGTTTAACCTCGGAACAGCGATTCGAGGCGACTCAACACGGCCGCTTTCAAATCTCTCTCTCTCTCTCTCTCTCTCTCTCTCTCTCTCTCTCTCTCTCTCTCGCCCCCTGCTCCCTCCTCTTCCTCCTCCACCTCCCTCCCTCCCTCCTCTTCCTACCTGATTCAGAATCCGCTCCGACGCTATGCGTATGACCGCGTCTCTCTCTGCAAGGCGAGCACCACCGGAGAGACCCGCACGCCGCCGCCGCCGCCGCTGCTGCTGCTGACCGGCCGCCCGCCAAGCACCCAACGCCGGCTGACAAGCGACCCAGGCCGGGGCAAACAGGAGCGGGGAGACGCCGCTCGCTGAATTAACCTCCACCGGGGGAGAAGGAGGGAGTGAGAGACATTAACCGGCGAAGGTAAATAAATATCCATATTTTATCGACACATGAGAGCAACAGAAGGGTTTTTATTATTTATTATTTGTGCAGAGGAGGTGGCCGAGCGGCGGTAACGGTGGCCGTCCAGGTTTCGCTGATTGAATGTTTTCGCGTTTTTTCTGGTGACAGCTGATCCGACTGAGCCCGTTGGACGAACGTGCACGAGTTCAATTGAATATTGATAATTGTGTTGCCGCCGAGAGCCGCTACAGTAAACAGCGATACGGACGGAATGAATGATCAAGCTCAGGCTGGAGGCGCGCGACAGCCTGTTGTGCATCCGTGTTTTTGTTTATTATTATTATTATTATTATTTTTTTTTAAAGACCCCCCCAAAAAAAACAATATAACACACCGAAAAAACCCCACATTGACATGCACAGTTTGTATTATAATCTCTATTTATTAAACATTTATGCGTTAAGTTTGGTGTGTTCGGGGGCGGCAGTGAAGTGAGATGCAGACAGGTTTGTGTGTGTGTGTGTGTGTGTGTGTGTGTCCACATCGTAATCAAGGAAACAGACACACACGTGCACGCCCTCTTTACACACACACACACACACACACACACACACGCACCTTTTTTTAAAGTGTCCTAACACCGCCGCGTGCTGAAACACGTTGCCTCAGATATGTGACACTTACCCACTGCTGCGCGTGCGTTAAGGCAAGCACGCGCCCATAATCTGCTGTCATTGCATGTTAAGGCACAATGTACTGTGCCCCCCCCCCCCGCCCCCTAATGAGCCATATGATCACCATCATCATCCTTCCACTGTATTTGCCCTTCATTCATCTTCATCTTCATCATCAGGACTATGTCACTCGAGCTGCACCCATGGGCTCCATTTAAAACACACTTGCTGAAAAGTGTTTTTCTCACAAACAGCAGGAAGAAGGCGAAGAGGAACCGAGAAAGAGAAGTGGCCTCGCTGCCTCTCTAGCACACAGAGTGAGACGGAGGAGGAAGAAGAATAATTAATAATAATAATAATAATAATAGAGGAGGAGTTTATATGTTCCTTAACTTCCAGTGAGGGAGCCACGGCACCCTCCTCCTCCTCCCTCCTTTTTTCTCTCCTAATCAATAATTCATTCCTCCCATCTTTTTCCAGAGTTGGCCCCGGATAGAGAGATCGGCAAGAGGACGAGTGTGGCGTCCCGGAGCCCGCTGTCCCATTCATCATCCTCTCCCCTCTTTCCTCTTCCTAGCCGAGCTTTCACCTCGCCAAAACTCCTCTCTCTCTCCTCTTCTTCTTCTTCTTCTTCTTCCTCTTTTATTCAGAAGCCCTCCTCTTCTGCAACTGGCAAACTTTTGCCTCCTTTTTTCTGCATCCCTCTCTCGCTTTCCCACCTGTGAGCTCGCCATGGCTTCTAAGCTGAACCCCAACGTCCTGTATGTGGCGGAGCACGGCGAGTCGCTGGGGTCTCCCCCAGGGGACTCTGAGAGGACTCACACTGTAAGTACGACTCAACGTGTGTTTGAATGCTAAAGTCAGGGTTAAAATATGGCACCCAGGAGGGAAAAGTCTCCTAATAAAAGTTATAAAACAGCATAGATTTACTTTCTTTGTCTAAATATTAGACATTGACCACATAAAGGGGGGGAGGGTTGGGGCCAGACTTGCTTTACACTTCATCAAACTTGCATGTTAATTACAAAATTTAAGCCCTCAAAGGCCTTAATGCTTAATAAAATGACTATTTTTGTTGCGTTTATGCAACTTTTTTAACGGCTTAATTTGACCTGCAGCCTAAGAGGAGGGGTGGATTTAAAGATAAACAAGACCTGTCTATTTCTAGGGTGATTTCACATCATCTCAACATTGAAAATCGGCAACAGATGCGGCTCAAAATATATAAGAACTTATCTCTAAGTAAGTTTTAGTTTTTAAACCTGCCTGTTCCAACATATAAACTCAACTCTACTCATCCTGCAGGGGAAATAAGACACATACTGATGATCTCTTATGGATTTTAGCTGCAAAACCATCCTTAGAATATGTGGAAATACATTTTTAAAATACCTGTAGAATATCTGTGGTGATGTGTGGCCCAAAGTACATCAAAGTACGCATCTTCTCAGCACACGGGAAGTGATGAATGGAAAAAAAAATGTCATAATGTGAGCTTTAGGATGAACGAAGCAAGTCAAGTCATTTCCAGTAAGTTTACGCAACTGGAGAGTAAATGTGTCAACAAGTATCTTTAATGGTCACACTGTACTAAGGGAGAGCTGAATGGCTGAGAAGTGATTCCCAATCCTCTGTATCTTTTAATTTGAAGGACTACTGGAGAACTCTGAAGCAGGGCTTTAGCTACGACTGATGACACAGAGGTCATGTCCTTGATATTGTGCAGTTTGCATTTTCTAATTTAAAACTGCACATAAGGCATGAATGTATCCCTGCTGTAGAGCAATCAGAGAAAACTGGCTTTAGACCATCGTGGTGTTAAAACTCAAAGGATTAAACACAGAAAATATCAAAATTAGTAAAAACATCTGGGGCTGCTCGAGTTTATGACCCAACTATTTCTAAAAACCATGGCGACGGCTCTGCTGTAAAGTGGTTTTATTGACTCTTTTAGAAGTTAAAAGTTTTGTTTTATAGACTGATGGACACTCAATGTCCGTCCAATGTTGACTTTTTTTCAATCCATTTTGTATAAATTCAACCAAATTGTTACTAGTTAGCTATTATGTTACTAAAGAAATGTGTCTGAAGCCAATAAAACTGCTTACAGTCGTCAGAATAGCAACAAAAAACTACATTTTGAAAGGAGGACATTTTCCTCACATGAGTTCTGGGTGGTAAAGACCTCAAAATCCATAATTTTTGTGCTTTAAGGCCTCCAGATGTTGTACATTATACAATATCTGACAATTATCTTACTTTTCTCCAGGCTGGAGAAGCTGGAGAAGAGTCATCGGACAGCGACGGGGAACAAGAAGAGACGTCACACAAGTTGATCCGCAAAGTGTCGACCTCGGGACAGATCAGGGCCAAGGTAGGAACAAACAGAGTGAAAGGCTGTGTGTGTGTGTGTGTGTGTGTGTGTGTGTGTGTGTGTGTGTGTGTGTGTGTGTGTGTGTGTGTGTGTGTGTGTGGTGTGGGGGGGGCAGAGTTTTTATCCATTATAAAGGTTTCCCAGAACTTCAGGAATATCGTCCCGTCAGGAAACCGGCTTAAATCTCTGGGAAAGTTTGAAGGGACTCCTATTTTAGCTTATTCTTATTCTTTTACCATCTTGTGTTTTTGGACATTTTTAAAAAGACTGTACCCCCCCCTTTTTGAGAGCTTTTTAAAAAACTTTATACATATTAAAACAGGACCTCTTCAAGGTAAAAAAGCAACATTAGCGAACCAGAGAGGGATTAAATATTTAGGTTCATGGAAGTGCTCTTGACTTAGTTAGGGAAAGTCATGGAAAAGTCATGGAATTTTTCATCAGGGTCACTCTGGGAAACCAGATTACACATTAGAGCTGCTCATTTATTAAAAGGTAATATATAAACATTTAAACATCTCACCGAGGGAGTGCACGTGGATTTGAAGCCATCTTGAAGGACATTTAGCTGTTATCTTCCTCTCACGTACTCTCTGAGAGGATTTCACTCCTGACTTGTTAACTGCATCAATCAGCCCATTGAAGGATCTCTATCTGTGTCCTGCCATAACTTTATCAACACTTAAATCAGAGCTTTAATCTTATCTGACCCCCCCCCATCGTCTGTGTCTGCTAGGTCAGCTGACTTCCTGCTCAGAGACTGGCTCACTTCCTGGCTGCGTCATTTTCCTCTCTTACCGCCACTGTGATGACGTGTTGTGTTCAAATCTCTGATACCTGATCTGACATAATCGCACGGTCTCTTATTGGGCTGCTGATGGCTGCTTATTGGCCTCTGGGCTGTGTTTTACAGGAAGATATTGATGGTTTGATATTAGCTTCTTACTGGCAAATACACACACACACACACACACACACACACACACACACACACACAGACACAAATCTGCCTCTTAGTTATTGATGAGCTAATATCTGTGATTATTTGTAGTGCACAAAGAAAGGCAACTGTCCAAATTATCATCATGTAGAGTACAGTAGTGTGTGTGTGTGTGTGTGTGTGTGTGTGTGTGTGTGTGTGTGTGTGTGTTTTGAAATCGTTATCTGTTACACGCGCCGATCGATAAGGAAAAAACACAGGATACCCTATCGCCATGGGAACGGCATCCCATAGTGCCACGTTTTGTTCCTGGAGCGGATAATGGTATAAGATATCAGTCTGGTATTGATCGGCTAATCTCATCGCACACCGCCGTGTTGTGGTACCGCGGCCATGTAAGGGCATGAGGGCAATCGTAGAGGGTTGCCATGGTTTCAGGGTCACAGGGCAGGAAGTAGGGCAGATGAAAGCCATGGTAACTTTCAACCTTTTTATGTTTTAGTGTCGCCTGTGTAGTTTTTTTTTTTTCTGTGTGCAGTAGAAAATTGTGTGTGATGCTGTTCCTTTTATTTTTTTAGATACAGTGAAATCAGATTCAAGGAATATAGATAAGGTATAGAATAGATAATAGAGGATCAAAAAAAAAATAAAATACAATAACAATTTAAATTGAAGCAGATTAAATCCCATTAACTTTTTTTATCATCACATTCACAATAAAATCAACTTGCATTTTAAATATATTACGCCATCTCCAACAGAAAGTTTAAAAAAAGTGAGAATGAAATTAAAGCTGTAATTGTGAAAGAGATTGTGATCCTATTGGCTGAAAGAAGCAGTGGATCTTGAATTCACCAGCTTTCAATCAAATTTGACAAAGCGATGATTAGTTCTTTGTATGTTTATGCTTCTGTGTGTGTGTGTGTGTGTGTGTGTGTGTGTGTTGATTAGATCGTGTGTACCTACAGTCATGTGACTCAGATTAAGCTAGTCATCGACTCCAGGATTACGCCTTAGTGATAACAATGGCCTGAACGGATTAGAGTGTTTGTGTATCCCTTTGTTTTGTTTGTGTACATGTGGGTGAGTGTATTTGTTTATCTGTGTGTGTGTGTGTGTGTGTGTGTGTGTGTTGCATTAAAGCATATCTGCCTCCTAGCCTAGCCCCCATGTTATGCGTGGCCTCCCCTCATTTTGTCCCCCGCCTGTTGCCGTACTCGTTAGAGCAGCAGTCTGTTGGTGCTCTTGTTAAGAAGGTGCTAATTCTTATCAACTGTGACATGACATCCTGACACCATTAGATTAATTCAGTTCCCTCACCCACAAGTCCCTAAATAATTATACAGATGCAGCAGATAGCCCTGGGAAGACTGGAGACGTTGGTGTTGGCTCTAATTAAATATCTTTGGGTTTGGAGACAAGCTTTTTTTATACTGGGGCACCAGTAGAGCCACTTTTATCTCACTAGAAGCCAGAAAGACTCATTGAAGTCGCTCCTTGCATTTAACTTTTAGAGATTTGAGAATAATAGCCATGTTTTTTTTTTGTTTTTTTGACTGAAGAGTGGATTTCTTGGTGCACAAGTTCATTGACGCTTGCTCTATTTAAATTTTTTTGCTGTGTCATGTTGAGCCATGAGGAAGTAGCATTAAAATGACCCAAAATCACCAACCCCGCCCTGTTTATGTGTCAGGCAAATGCTCACGCTCTTGATGTTCTGTTGCTGCTGTTTCAGAGTCAGCAAAGTGACTGTGACCTTGGAGATTTGCTAATATGGAGGTTTAAAAACTGTGTATGACTAAGTGTTTTTTTACGATTTGCACTAGCCTGTTTGTGATTATAAGAACTCATCCCGGCCTGCACGGAAAATAAGACACACATAACCCCAATGTTTCGCTTTTGGTATAAAGAAAATGCTCTTACGGCGCGTAACAGTGGCCAAGGTGCAAAGACAGATACCTAGTAAACCACAATGCCCCCTTTCCTTTCTCAGTTGCATAACTTTGCTCTCCCTTCATTTCCTCTCTGCCTCTCGAGCACATTCTGCTTATATATCCGCTAAAGGCAAAAATGTCCCACAATGTGAATGTAAAGAAATGCACATATAGAGTTTCAGATCTTTCAAAACCTTTTAAATGTCTGAAATCAGCTTTAGTTTGAACTAGAAGTGGATAAATAGGCCACATATAGTGCTCTCTGATAGCTGATGTCTTACTATAATGTCATAGTTACAGGTCCCATTATTAGAATAACGTTACTGACATTTATTCAAAATGTATCTAACCAACTACACGACTTATCTAAACTTCAGCTTCATTTTTTAAAATCATAATTACTTTATTAGAATAGTTCAGGGTTTAAACTTCAGTGGGGGCGGTCCTCATAAGGTTAGAAGTAAATGTCGGTGTGTTTTTTGTGCCCATAAATCCAGAGACCATATAACACACACAGCCGATCAATATGCATCATATCCACATATATGATGCTCTATTGTAGTACAGCACAGCATCATTCACTGTGCAGCACAGGTAATCGATACAGTGATGCACCAGAGCATGAAAATAGCCTTTTCTTTTTGTTTTGAGCATATTTGTTTACTTAATCTATTTTTTTTTTTTTTTTACAAATACAACCCAATACATCCCAAAAGCATTTTCCACATTCAATTTATGACATTTCAGAGCCGTTGGCAGAGCAGGAACTGTTTTCTCTCTTCCAGTCACTGCACCATGCTATGTGCATAGCTGCAACGTTAGCTTATCTTAATCCGGCGTCTTCACTTCTATCCATGCAGGGCGACCATCTACTGAGCAATGTTGATCATCCTGATAGGATCAGGCTCAAATGGTTCGCCAAAACTATGCTAGAGACTTTAAATGTCGTCGTTTCTCTGTCTTTTTCGACTACAGCGTGTATTTTATTTGGTTTAAAGTATTATTTTGGTTTCCCAGCGATTATGAAAACATGATAATGGAGATAAAGCGATTATTCCTTTTACAGCTGTGTGCAACTTTTTGCCCCTCCCTAAAAGCCCCAACTCACTCTCAGCCAGGCTGGGGCATGTTTAGTTCAGCTCGAGCCAAGGAGACAGAAAGAAAGGCTTTGGTCAACAAGAAAAGGTAAAACCAGTTCAGCTGTTTTGAAAAACACTTTGGTTTATTGTACTTTTTGTATTTTTCCATTCGTTCTACTCATTTCACTGTAGGATTCCAGAGTGGGATTGCTTGTTTTCGGTTTAGTTTTCATTAGTTTCAGTATCAGTTTTAGTTGTTTTTTTTAATTATAATATTTATCGGGGGGAAGGTTTAAGAAATATTACAATATGACTTTGTGACAGGAAATGACTCACAGGCATGTAGATGTCCCACTCTCAATTAATATATATACCAATTAGTTATTTTAAGCACACACTATCATTTCAGTTAGTTTTAGTTTAGTTTTGTTTTTAGTCAAGGAAAAACGATGCTTTCAGGGTCAGTGAGTAATAATCATAATAATCGTTAAATAATCGCAGTTAAGTTGGACCCCAGCTGAGTTTTTCCCTCCGCCTCAATCTCTGTCGTCAGTTTGAAATGTTTTGCATTTCACAGTCACAGAAAGTGACACAGAGGAATTTGTCTGCTCGTCGGTTTTTTGGACAGAGGAAGGTTAGATGGCCAACAAGCTACGGTGGCCTCCTCCTTTTTGGTTTCTCTGGCTCACCACGCGTCAGTTCCCCACAGCTGAAAGAGAGAGAGAGATTCACCTCGCCGACGATGTGCCGGCTTGCAGTGATTCCGTTTGAGTGACTAAAATACTCGGTGTGGCTGGACTTTTGTACGTTCTGATTTTCTAATTGATTGTACGGACGTTCGACAGCCAAGACTGAGCGCGGTGTTTAAATAGAGTCAGGCCAGAAGCATCTTGTTTGCCACAGGAAGCAGTTGGATTGTGGGTGGGGGACATGTGATGCTATATTTTGAGAAACAGAAATTAGCTGCACATAGTGGCACTAAGTCATTTAAAAATACACATTTTCAACGTTGTCATATGCTGTATTAAATGTCTGTAGTTACGTATA